AAGGGAATATCAGCACCATTCGTAGAGGTGCTTGGGCTTATCGGCGTTGGTGCTGGAGTGCAGGTGTCTACCCCAGCACGATGAATGAGTTCTCCTGCATATTTAGCTTGATGAAGAAGTAAACGATCAGTAGTGCGATCAACTTCGAGCCCCAAAAAATAATTTAGAGGACCCAAATCCTTCATCTTGAATTCATGTTGCATAATCTGAATAAAATCCTGAATGAGAGCAGAAGAAGAGCCAGTAAGGACAATGTCATCCACATATAGCAACAAAATAAGAGTGACCCTAGATGAGTGCTGGATGAAAAGGCTAGTGTCATGAGTAGTAGTGGTGAAGCCCTGAGCAGCAAGAAAAGAGGACAGCCAGAGATACCAAGCCCGTGGTGCCTGTTTTAAACCATAGAGTGCCTTCTTCAGCTTACAAACATACTGGGGATATTGCTGATCAATGTAGCCAGGTGGCTGAGTCATATAAATTGCTTTCTCTAGTTCTCCATTCAAAAAAGCATTAGAAACATCAAGTTGGTGAAGTGGCCAATTATAATGCATAGCTAAAGAGAAAACAACACGAATAGTTTGCTGCTTAACCACAGGGCTAAATGTTTCTGAATAGTCAAGACCATATTCTTGATCATAACCCTTTGCCACAAGACGTGCTTTATATCTCGACACTGTTCCATCAGCATTACGCTTTATACGATAAATCCACTTACAACCAATTGGGTACCTGTTGCTAGGTGGAGGAACCAACACCCACGTACATTGTCTCTGTAACGCCTCAAATTCTTCATCCATAGCCTGACACCAATACTTGTTTTTAGATGCTTGTTTATAGGTGGTTGGCTCAGTAAGAGGAAGTTCATCAAAGGGAATGGTGGAGGCATAGGCTTTTGGTTTAAAAATTCCACTTTTGGACCTGGTGGTCATAGGGTGAGAGGAGGCAGGTGGTTGTCGAGGTTGAGGTGGGAGTAGGGCAGTGGCTTCAGGTGTCGGATGAGGATCAGGTGTGGATGTAGGAAGGGGAGAAGGGACGGTGGGTGGTGTTGCAATGGGTGGGGTGGTCGGGTGTTGAAGGTGGCGATGAGGTGGAACGGGAGGAGTAGTAGGGTGGTGCGTGGGTGACGGTGGGGTGGATAGCAGAGGCACTGGAGCTAGACTATGGGACTGGGAAGACGGAAAAAGAGGTAGAATACCAAAGTAAGAAGTGGAGGAAGATGAAGAAGCCTGACTGTGTATTTTTTGGTAAGGAAATTCAGACTCATTGAAACGAACATGACGAGTGACGTAGACTTTAGAAGTAGATGGATCAAAACAACGGTATCCTTTTGTGTGAGGTTCATAGCCAAGGAAGACACAAGGTTTGGAACGAGGCTGAAATTTGTGATCAACCTCATGA